GTAGCCTTCTTGGCCCCTTCCAACCCTACTAATCCCATGAATCTAAAACATCTGGACAGCATCACACTTAGTGTTTACTTGCTTTGTCTTGCAAGCAATCCCAAACTATTTCTCTGCTTAATCCATCTCTCCGCACCACCTTCCCTCTGCTTATCTGCATTGCCTAGGCTATTTTGTGATGATTCGTGGAGAGACCATCTTGCCTTAAACAGGAAGTTAGATTGAATGTAGAACTCCTTCTATTAAGTCCATGATTGTATTTTGTCAGCTGCATATAAAAATGGGGGCTGTTAATGATAACTGATTTGCACTGACATAGTCCTGCCTATGTAAGTAACCAAGGGAAATTGGGGGGCGGTGAACAACAGCACCAACCCTGTGTTGCTCACTTTCCTTCAGGAATTAATTCCGCCCAGCTCTTACATAAACGTTATCCCAATCAATAGCTAAGTAATTAAAGCCACCAGTGTTGTGGATGTTTTACAAGCCTCTCGGAGCTGTATAGCCACTTCTTGCTGAACTTTCAAGGCATCATGGGGGTAAAAACAGGATCATTAACCACTTTCCCCCCTTTAATCACTGGATTAGCTCCGTTGTATCAGCTGCAGAGCCTTACTCCTTTAAAGCATTAGCCCAAAGCTGCCTGGATAAAAAGAAGACAGGGAATGTAGGGGTGTGAGAAAGGTGTACAGATAGTTTAGTCTCTAGCTGTCAATGGACTTAGTTGTAGCATTTCATCTGCTACTGCTACAAAAGTTTTGCATTGGGGGCTGAGGTTCAAGAAACACATGCAAAAAGTCTCCTTCTTTGCATGGAATTAACTCCATGCCTCTTTAGATCCTCACCAAATCTTTCTAAGCCTTTCAGCCACTATATGGATGTTCAGAAGTGATGCAGTGCAACAGGCACCCTGCTGCCTTGCCTGCACACGAGCAGTTTGCAGGCTTGTTCTACACCTGCATTCTGCTCTGCAGAGCCAATGGAATACTCTGAGGAGACCCATCAGCTGTGACAGCCCAGAAACCACAAAGACACATCCGCAGTGTTTGAAAGTGACAGAATAAGCCTTGCCCAGGGATGGGGAATTCAGCCTGAGGGGGAATTGCCTTTTGAAGGAGCTCCCAGAGTCTGCATTCCAGCAATGGCTGAGGCCAAAGGCAAAAAGGGAAGGGCCAGAAATGCAAAGGCATGGCTGTCTGGGGGTCCGAGGATACTGGACTGGGAACCCCCGTCTCAGTTCGGCACCCCTGCTCTGGGCCAAGCCCAGCACAGTTGCGGCTCCGGAGCATTTGTGTTGAAAGAGCGGCAGTGCTGCTAATTGAACCCGAGAAAGGCAAAATGGATCAATAGCTAGACAAACAATGGCAATGCTCTTCTGAGGGCTCCTATCAAAATAGCTGTTTATGCCTGTCAATTAGTTCACCTGCCAGTTCAGAGGATTCAGCTGAGAAAACCTGGACTATGACCTTTCTCAAACTTTTAAGGACAGTGGTGCTGTCAATTTTTATGGAAAGGAGAAGCATAACGACAGAGTGCAAATGATAACCTTTTACATAAATAGATAAATAGGTAAACATAATACATAATTTTATGTATTAAAAATACATAAAAATACAACAAAGAAATGATAGAGGAAGGCATATTTTGGAAAAGGCATACAAAGACTGCATAATGCATGCCTTAATGTAACAAGGGAAAAATGGGTAAATGTCACTGCAGCCATCATTTATCCAGTTCAAAATGATGAACCATTAGGTGAGCTGGGACAGCTGTCTCAGGTGGCAGAGACTGGGCACAAGGACTGGCATCAAAGGACAGAGGTGTATGTATTACCTGGTCTCCTCAGCACACCCCCGGTGAGGCCGCTGCCCTCCATTGTGCTGGAGGACACGCCTCTCCCATAATGTGGCCTTCAAAGGGGATTTACTCAGATTTGCAAGAAGAGGCAGGGATAGAATCCACACCTGAAATATTGGACTCAGGGATAAGACAGGTGGATTAAAGAAGCGGACGGTTCAAGTTTGGTGGGATATTTAGCAACGAGCTGAAATGGATGGGCATGAACTTAACATTCTTAGCCTGATCATACAGCCTTAGCTGAAGAGGGCAACCAGATTAGAAATGTCAGGTGTCCAGGTGATTGGCCAAGAAACAGCAGGATCACCTGGAAGGTGGAGTTAGCTCTTTTTGGTTTGGAAGGGAAGAAAGGTCTTTAGTTTTGAATCAACTACTTAACATCAAGTTGCTTTTACCTAATGGCCAGTATTCTAACTTGGCTTGTGTCTTTTGTTGTTGACTTCTGCAGTGTTCTTCTTATGTATTGTAAAGCCATTGAAAACATATTAAAGACTTTAGTCAGAAGCCTTTTGTGATCTTCTTGGAACCAGGAGTAGACTGGTTCTCAACAACCTGGCAGGCAAATGAATTCTTCCTTTTGGGATGGGGATGGCATGGTCAGGATCTTGTCCTACCCTTCATGGCTGGCTTGGAAGTAAATGCATATGAGAAACAGTCATTTATACATATAACCGTGTGTTTGCCCATGTCTGCTCCAACTAAATTGTTGTACTTATCTAATGTCACAGTCTTTATGACACTGAACTGGATCTGCCTTGTGACATATGACACAAGGATGCTCACACCCCCACCATAGTCTGGGGCCACAAGTTCTTATGCATAGTTTGCTTGTCACTAGAGCCAGACTGGGGTCAAGAAGCTCAAAGTTCAAACTGGGGTGCTTAAAATACGAACCTCCGTGTCATCCCCCAAATAAATGTGAATTTCAGCTTAGCTCCTAAAGTAGTTTGGCCTTCTGAGCTGTCCTCCCCAGTCCTCGAGCACCTTCCCTTTCTGCTGAGATTTCTCTTGCAGCAGCAGCTGTGGAGGGCTGCAAAAAAGATGTCTTCTCCTCAGGGCTTCATTAAATCCAAGAGCTGCAGCTTACAACACAAACATGCAAACCAATTCATGCTTGAAACCTGGGACTTCTGGGACCTTTGTGTATTACAGTTCCTGTCATCTCTGAGCTGATAATTTCCTGTTTGTAGGCCCAAGAAAGAGTCTTTTCTTTCATATTTCAGGTACTCCCGCTGGAAGGTAAGTTTGGTAAAGAAAAACTAGCAAACTGCTTGCAAGGTGGAGAGGAAGCTGGCTACAAGAAAGGTTGGCGAATGTACGAGGCTAGAAAGGCTTAGAATTCTTTAGAAACCCTTAGCAAGAATGAAAGCTCAGTCTAAATCACAAATGGGGTATGTATGCTTGTGCACACTCACGCATGTGTGCACTCACACACAGAAATGCTCATCCTTAGTTCTAGGACATCTGTAGTAACCTTACTATCCAAATAGTTAGGACATAGCAATACTTGCAATGCTGTTCAACAAATTATGTTAATCACCATCCCATTGCTGGAGGCATGTTTAGAACACCCTGTAAAATTATTTCTAAATGTTCATTGAATTAAAGCTATGAATCCAAATGTCTCACTCCCATTTAGGTTTGTAGTTTTGTTGTGAGGTGCACTCTGAGGTCCATGCTGCATGTAACACTGACGAGGAAAACCGGCGATTTGATCAAATTTAACGAAACTGACCGAGCAATTCAAGGAGACCATTTTGTGCAATAGTCTTTCCTCCAGGTTATTCTTTTAAAGCACTCATTTTGCAGGTTGTTCAGCACAATTACTTGGCATTAAATCCCACTGAACTGAGTGCTAATGATTAGGGTTGTATAGGCCTGCAGTTTGATGCCACCCTCCAAAGGCCCCACTTCCACATGGGGTAGCTTTTAAATATATCATGTTGTTTCTGATAAAGTGTGTGTGTGTGTGTGTGTGTGTTTGGTAAAGTGGTCTTATATTTTAGAAATGCAGCTGGAAAAATGTTTCCCCTCAGCCAGTTTTAAATGTGGTTTTCACGGAACAGCACGCTGTCTTTATCATTGCATTCTCTATGGGGGACTTTTTGCAGTGGTGCTCACAGGCATTCCCTAGATTGCCACGTGTGCCCACAAGTTCAAACAAGCTGGCATCTCCTGCTCTGGCTCTGTCCAGACTGGACTCCTGGAATTTGCTCTCTGCCACTGCCTCTGAGGACGCTTTGAAAACTTCTGCTGGCACAGAATGCAGCAGCCCAAACCTTCGTGGTGGCTTGTCAGTCAGGCCACATCCACCCATTCTTCTCTGCTATGTGGGCTTCCAGTGCCAGTGCAGGCCTAAGTCAAATGGCTAATTACGGTTTATCTGAAACAACTATGGGTCCTTTGAAAGGATGCTACCTGCATCCTTACAAAGCTTGCCCCTTGAAGTAAGGTTAGTGAAGTGCTTGCAACTTCTGGGATTTGGAGATGCATGGTTTTCTTGATTCTATGTTTAATTCTATCATTCTTAATCATATTAAGAATATTACTAATTATATTTTTAATTTGCAACTATATGCTTAATTTCGTAAGCTGTGTGATTATATTACATAAATGTCGGATGCTCAGTGAGGGAAAAGTTGTCCTTTTGAAACAGAGAAACACAGACTTGTTTTAAAGAGCTGTTGGTGTCTGTTTTTAATTCATTTTGGGAAGCAAGCTCTCAGCGCAGCTGGTCAGGTACGGAAAGGCTGTGAGGCCAGGGCAGAGCCAGCTCCTGTCCTGCCTGAGCGCTGGACAAAGCACACTGCCCCACTGGAATCGAGGGCAAAGGGCAAGGAAGGACTGCGTTTCCACTGCACATGCTCGCTGTGGCTGCCGGGAGAGCCTGCACATTCTTGCCTGACGAGGGGGAAACAGGTGCAGGGCTTTGCCAGGGCCGCGCAGCCACTTGGAGAGGGCAGCTCCACCTCCTTCGCCTTATTTACAGAGCGGACCATATGCTAGAGCTAAAAGGAGCAACCATTCAAAAAATGACCCTGCTGCTCGAGGGGACTTGGGAGAGCTGCGGCTGATGCGAACCGGAGCAATGTGGCAGCTGCTGTGCATAAAAGTGATGGGGCCGAGGGGCCGCAGGGCTCAGCATGAAGTCAGCCGGGGGTGCTGCGTCCGACCTGGAGGAGCTGGAGAGCGGCGGCAGCGAGAGCAGCTCCGGCGCCTCCCTGCCTCCGGCCGGGGCCCCCAGCAAGCGCAAGCGGAAGAGCCCCCGGCTGAGCGGCCTGAGCAAGCAGAGGCAGGCGGCCAACGCCCGCGAGAGGGACCGGACCCACAGCGTGAACACGGCCTTCAGTGCGCTCCGCACGCTCATCCCCACCGAGCCGGCCGATCGCAAGCTGTCCAAGATCGAGACCTTGCGCCTGGCCTCCAGCTACATCTCCCACCTGGCTAACATGCTGCTCTTGCAGCAGCAGCAGCAGCAGCAGCAGAGCGAGAGCCTGGCAGAAGAGCCGGTGCTGGTGAGGCAGCCCTGCCTGCAATATCAGCCCCTCCAGCAGGGTGGCGGCACTGCGACAACACCCCGAGCCATCTGCACCTTCTGCCTGAGCAACCAGAGGAAATTGGTAAGGCTGGCATCTGCCCCAGTGGCCCAAAGCTGGGCCCATGTGGAATGGGGTTTGGTTCCGGTTGGCTGCGGTAAGAGGGAGCTTTCCATGGCAAGATAATTGTATGCTCGGGTCATACATTTTCAAGCTATTCTGCGCAGGCCTCCATCCTACAGAAATCATTTTGCCAAAGGGAGCACATGGAAAGGTGGAATTTAGCCTTCATTCCAGCTGTGTATCTAGTATGTATACATGGCAGCCCGGACAATCCTTGTCTGAGATTAGTCGAGCATCCTTAATTTTTTAAAAAAACTTTTTGACCAAGGTCTTTTAAAAGAATATTACTTAGACAAGCTCACTCCCTTCACATCAGCATGGCTTATACAAACAGCTTATCAAAGCTGCGTTTTGCTTTGTTGCATAGCTGAAAAGAAAAGAGCATTTGGATTTTTGTCTTCCTTGGATTCACGTCATTACGATCTGTCAAGTGTAACATACTGCTTCTATTTATGGGCCCTCTGTGTACCGTTCTTTTGTCTCACCCCATATTTAGTTGTTGTTTATCTCTCCTTTGAGACATTATTTTAGAAGAGCCAAACACAACATTTAGCTTCATTGTGTCTGGTACTGTCTCCTGGTTTACACTGAAAGAAAAAAAGTTAAACACATGGCATTTGGAATGGGAGGCCTCAAGGGTTGTGTGCACCTAGGCTTGTCCTAGGTGGGAGTACACAGACTACCAGCCTTTCCCAACCAGTGCTCCAAGTAAAACCAAACCTACCCCAAGCTGTGGGCAGAATCCATGTCTGGGTTTGGTGGCGTGATATTTCACCTAACAGGAGAGATGGCTACTGAGCAGTGAAATGAAATGAAACCTAAATGAACGTGTTATGTGCCCTGCTGTTTTATAACAGATGCCTTTATCCTATTTGCAGCACAGAGAAAGGGAGAAACACTTGTCTCTTTAACAGCTTTATGGATGTTGATTCAGATGACAAGCGTGCACAAATGCCGGACTGGTTATAGAACAGTTGTCGGTAACGTCTTTGCACTTTTACATTGAAATTGTGCAATTCTATAAAAGAAGAGGAGGAAAGTAACCCTGATTTGCACTTTGTTTTCCATTGCAGCAGGCTTATTCAAGGGGCTTTTTGCAGATGAAATTGAACACGGTGCGGAAAGTTGCACCTGGCGTGGCAGCTATTTTCGTGAGAGAAATGCTAAACCTAAGCAGCCAAGCCCTGACACTGATGCCTCCTAAAACCTATGTCATATGATGGAACTTGAGCTTTCAAACGCCCAGTGTCTCCTCTTAGTGGGAGAGTCTCCTAGCACACCAGACCCGAGCCTCTAACCACTGCCGGACAGGCTGAGCGTTGGTCACGCCTCTCTCTCCCTCTCTCCCTCTCGTTTTGTTCTTTTCTGTCAGATGCATCTCTGCTAGCAAATTCAAGGGCTTCCTCTGACATGGAAGAGTAAAGGTTTGTACACGATCTATAGGAAGAGGACACATTTCAGATGCTGCTGTAACAATCCCTTTTAGCTGTCCGCATGATCAAGTGGGTGCTTATTCATGTCACTTTTCTAGTCAAGGAAGACACTGCGTTCTTTGAGAAAGGAGAACAAAACACGGTAATTGTCCAAGGAACTGGATGAGATGCTAATGTTAAAGAGGCACATTTCACATATCTCATTTATTATTAAAGAAAGAAAAATAACAGCTGGGGTGGAGGCGATCATTTCAGGAGCTGATATTTGGCTCTGGAGAAAAGTTGCCATTGCCTGGGAAATAGAGGGGATGGATGTGAAGGGGATTTCTGCTGGAATTGTATCCCAGGGAGAAAGTGGTGGACTATTCTGTAAGTTCTGGCCTGCAGTTCCTATCATCCTCCACAATAGGTTACTCTGGCTAGGACTGATGGGAGTTGCAGGTCAAAACAAATGGTTCACCTCTGGGTTAAATACACATGCACAAACATGGGAACCTGATTCTGATTGTCCCCTGGTATTACTTTTAGAGTAAATATAAGATATATTAAACACCTCTAGTCTGGGCCCTAAGTAGCCACTGCAGGAAAATGATTTCTTCTGTCCAGTCACAAGTTCCAAAGGACCCCAAGTGATTATTCATGGGGCAGTTGGAGGAGAAAGTTGGCAATCCAGAGCAATGTTGTGTAAAGGAAGAAAAGGATGCTAGTAATTACTTTGCACTAGCATGATGTCCACCCCCATATGCCATCTGAAGGGTGAGCAACTTTGCCCCTCTAGATGTTTTGGACCACAACCCCCTTCAACCCCAGCCAGCATAGCCAATGGCAAAAAATAAGAGCTGTACCGTAAAACTTCTGGAACAACCCGAGCTGCCTGTTCCTGTGCTGCCCAAAGCTCAGGCAAAGTATACCTGCCATGGATATCAGAGGAAGCTGTCGCATATTTCCCATTCCCCATCAGCCATACCATCTGTTCAAAGTCCCCACTGCTAGGAGATCTCACACGGCATGACTCTCTGCCTCCTCAGGGCAATGCCATGACTAGGCAGCAGAAGCTTGGCAGGAGGGCTACAACTCCCGGACTGATCTCAGATGGGTTAGACAAACCATGTGCAAAATTCAGCACAGCATCCCTCATTCCCACAGTCAATGGAGGACTGATATAGAAGTCTATTTTACAAGACCTGTGAGTCATATGGTTTGAGATCCCTTCTTAATGTACCTGTGACTACTGCAAAGCAGCCAATGGAAAGTCATGCTGAGACTGGCTGCTCCATCATGGCTGCTTTCTCCTGTCTCTCATCTGCTTGCCTCACATTAGAAAGAGTTTGCTGCTCGGGGTTTCCAGCACCAACAGGAGGAGAAAGTGCTGGCAGAACTGAGCTCTCTGGGTACAACAGACAGTGTAGGAGGTCCCATGTGTACAGCTGGGATATTTACCTGTCCCTCCATAACTACTGACTCTTCTAAAGGGTCTGTAACCCCACCCATGAGGATTCCTTGGGATGTTTTCTAGGGGATGGAGTCATGTTGGCTAAGTGCATTTATTACACACACACACACACACACACACACACACACACATCACAGTAAATAAAAGTAAGATGTCATATTTTACTGTGCAAGAAAACTTTTTTTAAATTTTCTCACATTGGTCTGCTATTTTGTCTTCAATGTTTTAAATTCCTTCTTTAAAATTCTCTTATGGCATCCCTTAAAGGCAACTTGTTCACTTTAAATCTGGCCACAAACCAAAAGGCACACACTAATCTACTCTAATGCAAACCTTCTAATACTGTTGAATTTTTAAAATAAAGATTTTGTTTCTTTTCTATCCTCTTTTCTTTCAGAATGTAGAACTTTTATGGTGAGAGATAGAGATGATGAGATAGAGCAGGAGTTCATTTTCCAATGCTTCCACATAAATAATAATTAAAAACTTCACTGCACATTGGAACAGCCTGGTTTTCCTTGGCATAGTAGTTTTTTACACAAAGGGAGAAGATTACATGGAGGAGTACAGGCAGTCCCCGGGATACAAATGAGTTCCATTCCTGAGAAAATGAAGATTCACCTTTAAGTCGAATTTGTATGCAAGTCAGATAGTTCTCTGCACTGATGGGGTCAGGAGCTCAAGATCCCCATGAAAGTGGAAAAACTGGCAATACATCTGCCCTTCCCCAACTCACCAGCACATCCTCTTTGCAGCAAGAAAATGCCAAAAAGATTCCCCTCTCTGAAGGTGACAGCCTTCCTCTCTCCCCTTTCCCTTCCTCTCTCTCTGTTGAGATGGTGATTTTCTGCAGTTTTTTTTTTTTTTTTTTTTGTTAATAGGCTTAATGGCAGTTTGTAAGTATGGGTTGTTCATAACTTGGAAGTTTGTAACTCGGGGACTGCCTGTATTTAAACTTTCTGCATACACACATCTTCACTGTGCGATGCCATGGGGAACAATGGATGGGTAGATCAAATGGCACCTGATATGGCTGCTTTCATATCAGATCTACCCTCACAAGTCAATCTGATTGGTTCTATTCAAAATGATGTGCATGACTGCTTTTTCCCACCCCACCGCGGCCATATATGTGCGGCAGCAACACATATTCACATTTCTGTGCCAGTACCACAGGTGCTGTGGGAAGCCATCAAGCGACACGTAGCCACAGAGCAAAACAGGTGAAGCAGACTGGTGTCAGGCTTCTCCTTTGCCAGCCTGGATGTACTGAGCCCACATGCTTATACCGCGGCTCTCCCGTCGGAATCAGCTTAGCCAAACGAGGGAGATGCAGCCAAATTGGGAGGAGGTTCTGCACTCGGGCTTGAAACTTGAGGCGAGCACTGTGGTGACTCAGGTCAAGCCTTAAAACAGTGTGGGATCTTTCTAAATTTGTTCATCACTGAAGTGTGGAGCAGGAAACTGTCTCAGGGGCCCTCTACATTTGTCTACACCCCGGGTTACTCCCAAGTTGCCCTTGTACACAATCAGTGGTGCCTTCCTAATACTGCTTGCTATGAAGCAGTGCAATCTTTCTTTTGAATAAAAAGAAACTTGCCAAAGACGTCTCAAATGTCCAGATGTGGACAGAATAACAAAATCATTGAAATGGGTTAGTTCACAGTAGAAAGTTCTTATTCTTAGTTATAGTTTTTCCTGAGGGAGTGTGTAGGCTTGCTATGTCCCTTATTTATTTCATTTTTATTCTGCCAATAGCTGAGGTTTTCCAGATGGTTAGAAAAAGTTAAAAACACACAAACAACAAAAATTAACATAAAACAACAAAGCCTCAGCAATTGCAACTGGATCAACACAGAGACATAGAAATGGCACATGATAAAATTTAGTATTGAAAGGAAAGTTAAAAATTTAAACTGTTAAAATACTGGGAAAAGCAGAAGATTTTCACCCGGCACTGGAAAGAGTACAGTGCAGGTCAGGTACACTTCTTTAGGGAGCTCATTCACATTTCATATCTAAAGATAATTCAGAAAATAGTTTAAGATTAACAGTCCCCCAATTTATGATTTCTCAGTTTCCCCAAACTTCTAATTAAAAGTATCCCAAGGAACCATCTGTGAGTAATATTCTCTGGCTTATATTCCAACCTGTGATTGGATCATCAGCTGTCTAATATCCTTGTCAAAACCCTTTCCTGAAATCATAACAACATTATAAGAGAGGTTGATATGACTAATAATGATAATGATTCTTAATAACCCAGGTTCTAATCATGGGCATCCAAATCTCCATGAGAACTATCAGTTTTGGAAACGAGCATGCAAGATTGCCTTTGAAAAGCAAAACCAAAAGCAAGCAGTGCTGATATGCAATTTGAATTATTATGAAACACATTCCACTTTTCCTTGCAGGCAAAGAATGCGTGCCCAGTTTTGGAGGCCATATTTTCCTTCCTCCCCGGGACCGTTCCTTGCACCTGGTAAACAGGTCAGCTGTCTTATTCACTGTGAGTGGCATCAGCAAATTTGTATGCCACTCCAAACCTACAGTGTAGATTGAGTGGCAGCACCACGTGAGTGCCCTGCTCACCTTGAGGAAGACACACGATGGCTTCACGCACGCACACACAAATTAGCCAGTGCATGAAACAAGGTCTTGTGTACTGATTCATACAATCACACTGTGGGCACACACTCCTTCACTTTCTGTCACTCTACTGTACTTTTTAAAAATGTAATAAGCACCTTTCATATTTATTCTGCTGTTGCCTTAAAAAGCATACAAATATTCTGGAAGGGACAATGATTCTGATTCATATAGAATCCAGCATGCCCCCATAGTTGTTCTATAGATGAAACTTTTACTGTCATTGTGTTGCTATGGGTTATCTCCAGTGTTGATTCTAATTGGAGTTGTTGCAATGAAATGACAAAGATTTGTCCTATGTCTACTCCAAACAGAATTAATATTGGATACAATCCAGTGACTACAGAAATTGTACCTGTGGAGTGTCATCTATTTC